CCTGGTCCAGCCAGCCGCCCTGGGTCTCGAGCGCAATCGTGGCATTGGTCTTCTTGAGCAGAGGCCCAAGGGCTGCCTCGAGCCCGGCCTTGTCGCCGTAGAACAGACCCTCGAGGTTGACGAAGCGGGTGGTGATGAAGATGCGCATGTTGAGCGCCGCCGGCATCTCTTTGACGGCAAAGTCCTGGACCAGCCTCAGGCCCGCCAGCGCCGCCGCCTCGGTCCTCCAGGGCACCGATGCCACGAAGAAGGTCACCGTGTCCGGCACCACAAACGTGTTGAACCGGAACTCGGTCACGACGCCCATGGACGATCCCGCGCCACGGATGGCCCAGAAGAGGTCAGGGTTCTCGGTTGTCGAGCAGTTCACGATGGTCGAGTTGGCCAGCACAACGGTTGCGCCGACCATCCAGTCCAGAGCAAGACCCTTGGTGTGCGAGCTGACGCCATATCCGCCGTGGAGCGAATGTCCGCCAACGCCCACACTACATAGCAGTAAGTGATGATGGTTAGCGCAGGTCAGTGAGGCTAGCAACATGACTTGTAATTGGAACTCACCCTGGACAGGTACCATGGCTAAAGGCCCGGTTCCCCTGGTTGTACAGCTCCCAGGCCACATGGCCGAGCCGCGAGCCGCCCTCGACAGTGGCAATGCCGGTGGCGTTGTTCAGGACGACCTTGTTCATGCGGTCCATCTCGATGGTCAGATGGCCGTCCTCACCACCGAGGCCAAACGACCCGTAGCTGTGGCCGCCGCACTTTGCGTTGGCCTTGATGCCGAGCTTGGCGGCGCAGACGACTGCATCTTGCACCTGCTTGGGTGTGGTTGGCACGGCAATGCCGACCGGGGTGAAGTTCAGCCGCAGGTTGAAGGGGGCCACGTCGAGCTGCCAGTCAGGGGACCCGAGGCTGTCGGTGGGCACCGCCGACTTGGAGAGACACTCGGCCAGCGCGTCGGCCTTGTCGAGCGGGACCGCCACCGCGGCACACGCCCAGCCCAGCAGGGCGAAGAGGGGGGCCGGCAGCAGCATTGGATCTGTGCGGTCACTGGCAGGCTTGTGATGAAGTGGCAATAACGTGACGCAAACGAGCTGTAGGAAAATATGTCGTTTCAGGTTCCGTGTCGGTCTTGTACGGGTCGGATCGTGGAGAAGTCCAAACAAAATCTGGGGAAATGCAGCCCGAGATATACTCGCCGCTGGTGGACGGGACAGGAGTCCGGGGTATCAGGGGGGGTGGAGGACGCGGAGTGCAGCGGCTCTTCCTCCTAGCCGGCTCTTCGTCGAGCCCGAGTTCGAGATCGAGTTCGTCGCTGCCGTCTGGTCGTCGTCCAGCTGAGGGCAGGCACCACGCGGGAAGAACTGCACTGTCGAGACGGTAAGTGAGATGGCGCCACCTGCAATGCTGAATCGTACGGCGGTGCTCCCACACTTAAATCTCCCAGTCCTGTCGCGGCGTGCAAAAACGAGTCTGCTGGCCAGAGTATCGGGTCATTCTGGCGCTTTTGCCGATCGCTCTTTATTGTGGAACAGTGAAATGGCCGGAGGCGTTGGGCGAAGCGGCGGCTCAGCCCGGGAATCTCCCGCCTCGCATGGTCTAGAGAAAGGTTAATCTAGACATGGAAGCAGAGTGATTTGGTGCCGCTATGGGGAAGAATGCTGAGGGATCTGCCCTGCGCTTGCCGAGTATCACGAGGGCATGTCGGATCGGGCCACCGACATGGGACTGGGAGAGACCCCGAGTCACTCGCGGCTCCTCGGGAAGAGCGACATCATAGCCGCCAGCGCAAAGGCGCCATGGAGGTGCGGCATATACCACCTGGTTCTGGCAAAGCGGCGGGCACACATAACCAGCCCTGTGGGACAAGATGCAGGAGCAGCCAAGCGAACGCCTCATTCCAGTCGTCAGGGGGCTCAACTAAGCGTGGGTTGCAGCCGCTACAATGGCCGTGACATAATAACGCGCTTCAACGTTGTGTGCGATGGGTCTATGGCTTATCTGTTGAGAGCATCCGCAGGTTGTGTCTTGGCACTAGTCAATGTTGCCTCTCACACGCCTCAGCTAGCCCGGTGGGATCGATTGAAACACGGTGCCAAGTGAGCGGATGACACCCACCCAAGCATGGGGTCTTGGGGGTCGCTTGTTTCGAAGGACCGCGACATGGAGGACGGCATAAGGCATGACGAGCGCAGGTGTCTCTTCCGCTCCAGCCGCCAGCTAGGGACATAGTCTGCAAGTGAGATGAAGGATAGTAGGCTGCGCAATTGCTGCTCCGATGGCCAATAATTGGATTCAAGGGTCGATTATATTGCGCGGGAAGAATTACCCGGCGAGGAGTTGTCAATGGCAGAGGATCGTCCAAAGGCATTAGCACAACAAGAACGAGTGGAGGTGCAAAGTGTGTGTTAATTATGGCTGATGGTTTGCGGGATGGGCATTGATGTTGACATTTGGACGTGGTAGCTGCGTGACCAAAAAAGGGGTCATTAGCGCTAGTTATTCGCGTCAGAGCTTTGTTGATGCATGCATGGGCTGTTCACAGGAATGCACCAACACGTCCTCACCATGTTTTGCAGCGGCATGAGCAAACACAGCAATCACCGCAGTGCACAGAAACCGCTATTAAGGGACGTGGGGGACTGGACGTGGAGGCAACGACCCCCAGTTTTTGCGGCGATCTTTGTTTCTGACACCGCAGGGCTATTGAATGGAAATGAAATCCGCTGATGACGGACAATGTGACGAGATAGTATCCAACATCCAAAATCCAGACGAGAATTAGACCATAAACTCTGGCAAGGACCTTCTCCAGTGCAACTGTGGGGTCAATTGCGGTGCCTCGGGTGAGCTTTTAATCAGGATGTCGGGCTAAAAGGGCTGGGGCAACATTTATCCAACAAAACCAGGGAATGGCTGGCTCCGAGCAGCACAGAAGACGTCGATCGACCGGATATGGCTTCCGTAGCATTGCCGCATTGGGAACTTGAAGCCAGGGGCTGCCCTTTACCTCCAACTTGAAGTTCCCTAGTCCCGGGCTGGCAAGGGACTTGGACTTCAAGAGTTTGCTGTCGATGGGACTAGTAGGTCAATCACTGTCCCGGGGCTTGAAATGGACTGAGTGAAATTATATATCCAAAAAAGGCCCCGTCTCTTGGCCGCCTTTTTTCGTGCCAAGCCTTCATAACTGCGGCTCAATCATAAGCACGAGCGCTCACTGCACCACGATGGCGTCGATCAGGTCATGCATCTCGGCAATTCTCCTTGGCGTCCATGTGCCAACCGCACTTGGTGCCACGGCGGCCGCCAACCTGCTCGTGTCTCACTACAACGGCAACCTCTACTCGCTGTCCTTCACTCAGAATAGCGCCACCGGCCAGCTGGCTGTTAAGCAGACAGTCAAGGCCGGCGGGAGCATGCCGAGCTGGCTGACGCTGGACTCGGACTCTGGCAACCTGTGGGTGACTGACGAGTCTACATATGGCTCCCCGGTTCTCACCCAGCTCCAGGTGGCGTCCGATGGGACCATGAAGGTGACGGGCACGTTGAAGTCCAACGGGGGCGAGGTGCACAGCGCCTTGTACGGAGGCAGCGACGGGAAAGGGTTTATTGCTGCGGCCGAGTAGTAAGTTTTCCGAAGTGGAGAATAGTAAGACAGACATGAAAGCTAACAGAAGGAAACTGAAGCGACCCATCGTCAATCAGCACCTGGAAGCTGCCCGTGGCCAGCAATGCCCAGTCCCTGCAGAAGCTCTCCTTCACCATGAGCGGCAAGGGCCCCGTCGCATCCCGCCAGGACAAACCACACCCGCACTCCGTCTTCCCCGACCCGACGGGCAAGTTCCTGCTGAGCCCCGACCTAGGCGCCGACTTGATCCGCATCTTCAGCATCGACGCCAGCAGCGGCAAGCTGACAGCCTGCACGGCCGCCAAGGCTGGGGGCGGCGATGGCCCACGCCACGGCGCCTTCTGGGCCCCCAAGTCCGGGTCTACTGACGGCGCCATGCTGTACATTGTCAACGAGCTCGGCAACTCCGTCTCGGCCTGGAAGGCCAGCTACCCGTCCGGCGGCTGTCTGACCCTGGCCAAGACACAGACCGTGTCTGCTTATCCGGCGGGGAAGAGCGCGCCCTCGGGCTCCAAGTCAGCCGAGGTGCACGTCGCCGGCAACTTTGTCTACGCCGTCAACCGCAACGACAAGAGCTTTGGCTCAACCTCGGACTCGGTGGCCACCTACTCCATCGACCCTGCCTCTGGGGCCATTGCGTTTATCGAGGCCACCAACGCCTACACGTACTACCCCCGCACCTTTCAGATCAACAAGGCCGGCGACCTGGTTGCCTTTGGCGGCCAGACCTCGTCTACCGTGGCGATTGTGCAGAGAAACGTCACGAGCGGTCGTCTGGGAGCCCAGATTGCCAATCTGCTGGTTGGTACGCGGGGGTCAGCCGGGAACGAGGATGGGCTGAGCGCCGTGGTCTGGGATGAGTAAGTCAAGGCATGGGCAAGACTATTCAAAAAGGTATAAGAAAGGAAGGTGTATGAAACGTAAGATCAAAGGCTCATTGTATGTATGCAGAGTAAATACATTTGAGTAACATGTCTAAACAGACAAGTGTTCCAGCTTTGAGCAAAGTACGATATTGAATGTTATACATGGCTATGAAATCAGTGACGTTAAGCAACTTTGAAGAATAGATCTCAAGAACAGTGATCTCAATGCTGAATTTATTCATATAGGAACTCCTCTTGTTCTCACGCTTCTAGAACTTCAATAACCGATACATTGCGGAAGCAAAAGAGGTAAAACAAAATTCAATATAACAGCTGATGGCTCTCCAAATTTGTTCAGAGGGCAATGCATCGAGAGGACAAAGGACTGGAATTGACCGTTGAGAGGTTGGTCACAAATGAAGGGGAGCGGGGGAAACCTGGAACTAAGATGGCAAAAAAACCGGCAAAAAGGAAATCTCGATCATCTCTGATCTTGAAGGGTTATTCACTGGACGGGCTGGGAATCGAACCCAGGACCTTTCGCAACTTGAGAAGATGCTAAGCGAACGCTCTACCAACTGAGCCACACGCCCTGTTGTATTTGTTGAAGAGATGAGAGTTATTTCCCGTTTTGGTGGAGACTGCGCCGGCCGGGAAAAGACTTTTCAGAGTGGAGTTGTGGAGATAGTTGCCGATAAGACGGGTTACCCACTTGTGCTACTGTAGGTGTAGAGAGCGGTGGGACTTGTTGTTTAGTGTGGAAGCGTTGAGGATCTTGAGTAATGGAGGTAAAGAGACGAGAATGAGCTGCAACAAGGAATGTAGCATTATGGACGCTATAATAAAGAATGAGTCCCATGATTAAACACGACATGTTTTAACAGCTGTGAGAAAGGGATGGATTGTGAAAGCCGGTAGATGTGTGAATCGCGCGGCCCAGGTGCGGGCCAGGCAGGGGTTGTGGTGTCTCAAGACGGACCCGCACGATGCTGGTGAGGTTTAGACTAAAGGACCCCGACTGGGATTGCTTGGACATGTGTAAGTGTTTCCAGGGACATAGAATGATGGGTACCTTCAAGTTGAGAGACCAGTTTGTACAAGTATTGATGAGCTCAGCACAAACTCTCTCCACCAGTAGGTACCTGAATTACTGCTGAAACAATCAAGTTATCCTCAAAGTCAAACCAGTCCTCATGTTGACAATCTGTGTGCCCAGACACAACGCAACGCAGGCGTCACTCACACCCCATACTGTCCGCCAACAGCCCAACAAGCCGTCTCAGCAGCGCGGTTGGTGTAGGTTATGTATTGCGTTTGTCTGCACAATTCCACATAGTCAGCGATCGAGTCAAGCAAGACACTCCATGTCTGGTCTCAAAGTTGGCGACGAGGTAAGGTGGCAATTACGTACCCAACCCAAACGGTGTTTATGGTGTGGATTGTGACCAAGCTAACATCATATTCGGTCTGTGTTGGCTGGGCGGAGAGCACGGTGAGTGTCACGAGATCCGGCTGGTCACAGACAGTCTGAGCAGGCGGTATGCTGAATTAATCTCTGTTAGTCATATTCACTCGCGCATGATACTTCATCAAGGTTCACTGGAGACTTACAAAGTCCGGGTAACGCCGTCATAAGCTTCAACAGAAGTCAGCAAAACTACATTCAGTGCAAATTATCGGTATAAGCTCTTACCAGTCTCCGTGACGGTTGTGGGAGCCGGGGCAAGGATGGTCTCGGTGCTTGTGACAGTGTAGGTTGTCTCGAAGATGGTGCTGGTGATGGCGGCAGCATTGGCAACTTCTCGTATCTCAACCAAGACGGGGACTACGATGTTGTCAGCATGTGTTCTACAGAAAAATTACACGCAAGGAAAAGATAGCAGATCAAATCAGCACATACCATCACCATCGTTGCTCGCTGAGCGTCCCCCATGTTTACCGCCTCCACCGCCGCTTCCTCCACCTGAGGTGCCAAGATGTCAGTACAAAACTCCAGTTGAGTAGACCAGAATTATGGTATAAGATCGAGAATCTTGAATAAGCTTACCTCCTCCGCCTCTGCCTCCACCACTGCTTCCACCACCGCTTCCTCCACCTCCGCCTCTGCCCGAGCCAGACCCAGATCCAGAGCCAAAGCCTCCTCCTCCTCCTTCAAGGTTAAGAGTCAGCGTGCATCCGAGTTTAAAGGCGAAAGGTCGGTGAAAAACAGACATACCACGACTTCCTCCACTCGACCCACCACCGCTTCCACCGCCTCCAAAACCGCCAGAACCTCCACCCCCTCCTCGGCCAGATCCTGAGCCCGAGCCTGAACCCGAGCCTGACCCCCCACCACGACCCGAGCCCGTTCCCCCGCCGAATCCGCCCCCAGAGCCCGAACCCGACCCTGACCCTGACCCTGACCCTGACCCACCACCATGACCTGATCCCGTCCCAGTGCCTGACCCTGGCCCACCACCGCGACCTGATCCCGTCCCCGTCCCTCCACCAAAGCCACCTCCCCACCCCGAGCCAGAGCCAGAACCACCAGATCCCCCACCACGGCCTGACCCAGAACCAGAACCACTTGTCCCACCCCGTCCACTCGAAGTCCACCCCCACCCGCCCTGGCTATACCACGGCCGACAGCCGGTCCCACAGCTACTCGGCTTTGGGACAGACGGCTTGGGTGCCGTGGGGTCGGGCCGCGGCACGGACGGGGCCTGGCCCAGCGCGTAGTGGCACGAGGCGGTGGCGCCGATGGTGGTCAGGTAGTATTCCGTCGTGGCGGGGCCGTCGGTCTGGGTTCTGTAGATGGTGGCGTCGATGGTGGAGATTGGGGCCGGCAGCCAGCGCGTTAGGGTCTGCGTGCTGCTGCCGCCGCAGTGGTTGGTGACGGTCTTGGGGGCGCCGATCGCGAGCGAGGTTTGCGTGAAGGTTGTGGTGGTTGCTGTGCAGTTGAAGGGGTTGTGTTAGTTGGGATTGGTATTCAGTTGCCAGTAGATGGCGTGATTGTTGATGTCAACGGTGGTGGGTTAGGATAGGGGTTCAGGGGTGTTCCGCGACTGGACGTACTTGCGGCTGGCGCAGTGCTGGTGACGCCAATCACAACGGTGGGCGTGATGGTGATCGTGACTTTATCGGGCGCCGTGACGGTGAGGCGGAACTTGCGCACGGCTTGGAAGTTGACATTGTCGGCCTGGAGAACGATTGTCCAGCTGCCCGACGACATTTGGGAATACGCAATGTCGCTGCCGCAAGACTCCCTGTCAGCAGTGTATTACATGCTTGATTGGCTGGCAAGGAGAGTACATGTCATTATACTGACCATGAAGAAGACTGCTGCTCGCCATTTTCGTGGATCTGGAGTGTGGTGCAGTTGTATTGCCGGCCGTTGGGATCGACAAGAATCGGCTCAATGGTATCCGTTTCATCGCAGGCTATACGAGAATGTCAGGTCAAGCACCAATCAATCTCTCCCCATTTCAAGGCTTCGGAAGTATTTTGGTCTGAGCTTGCCGTACATTGGAAGACCGAAGTAAAGGCAAAGTTGGAGGTGTCGGATCCGTCCACAAGGTATGAGCCGTCGTTGGAGTAGTCAATGCCGGTGCAGGTGCATGTCCCGGCATCTGCAGCGACATGCAGAACAACAACCGCCAGGCAGACCCATATCTTTAGTAGCAAGTGGGAAGCCATGAGATGGCGGTCCTGTTGCTGTGATTCGCCAAGATTGAACAAAATAGCTGGTTCGATTATTCGAGGTTTGATGGAACAGCCGAATGCAACATTTGCAGTCTCAAAAGCAACGCGTGGCACTTGGGATCTATTATATACGGCAGAGGAGAGAATGCAAAGCCTCATAGGACCAAACTCTCTCTCTCTCTCTCTCTCTCTCTCTCTCTCTCTCTCTCTCTCTCTCTCTCTCTCTCTCGCCCATCTTGACCGCATTAGATGATGGCGTCTGGCAATATGGGGAACACCCGGTGACCGAGCAAAGACGTGAGTGAGCAAATAGAAAACAAGGCACCACCTCCATGCTGATATTAGTGGCTGCCGCTCGCCGGAATTAGGCTATTATTTATGTTGAGAAGGTCAGGTAGAATGGGAACTGCGTGTCTCAGCCCGGCCTTTAGCACACGGTACTAAATGTCCCCGGACACTTGTTAAGGGGATGTATGACTGCGGTGACGTGACTTGACAAATTACCTGCAGCAAAAAAAAAAAAAGGCTTGATCATCCTAGCCAAGGCCTATCTTTGGTCACTGCGCCATTTATGCTGCCGCTCAGCTACTATCGACCCAAATTGCCCGCCGAGTCAGTACATGGACATAATCTCCTGTTGGCCCAAATTCCCCGGATCAACAAGTGACAGCGGCCCCAGACCGGCGGGGCGCGGGCAACGTCGCGCTACTGATGATTAAGTGGCAGGCCCTTGTTGGTACATTTAAGGGAGGTTGCGGCAGTTTGCGATGCATATGCATGCACTGATGTCGGCGTGATAGCTGGTAACATACATAGGGAAACCACCCTTTTGGGTTTTGACTTGGGAATGGCTTCACATTGATCATACGGCACAAAAGTGTTAATTACCTGGTAGGTAGCAACTATGGAAGCGTGGGCTCCTTCCGTTCATGTGAGTAACAGGAAGGCACCTTGTAGAGTCAGGAGGTAGGCACCTTGCACTCGTGTTTGGAACTCAAAAGACCGAGATGACGTCCATGTCCATGTCGAAGCGGCTCCAGTCCTGCATCGCTGCCAGCAACAACACAGGCATTGATTATCTGAATTACAACGCAGGATCCAAGATCAAGACCAACAGCACTCCTCAACATCCACTTCAGTTTGACATTCATTCCATTCATTCCATTCAAGTTCACATCCATGGCGGCACTTCTTTCGGAAGCCGCGCAGCTCCCTGATGGCGAGTGCTGGCATCCCGACTCTGTAGGTGTCTGGGACAAGAAGTGGACATGCCGTTTCTCCCTCCCTTTCCGCATCCCGAGATTTGGCAGAGTAGGCCGTCCTCTTCGGCCTTTCATCTTTGCCATGCTATGCGACGACACCTCCACCTCCGGGAGCAACTTGGCCGGCATTCATCGCGTCACCGCGTCGGCTGAACTTTATCGCAAAGACGAGCGCCACGGTGTCCACTTCCTCGCCTCCCACAGTGTCCTCACTGCAGTCATCAAGGCCCACGAGCACTCGCTGTACTTTGTCTTCCGGGGCGCAGCCATCGACACACCAGGCGAATACAGATTCCGCATCTTCTTCATCGATGGCGAGGGAACACGCATCAACTGTTGTATCACTGCCCCAATCTTGGTCGTGCCTGACTCCGAGCCCATCCCAGTGTTGCCTTTTGAACGAGATGAGGACGAACTATGGGCCGTCTTGCATCCCGGTGCTCCCCTATTCATGGACGGCACCGAGAACACCATGGTTACAACCAAGCTGTCACTCGACGTCGATAAACACCAACCCCACCATCCCAAATAGCCAGTCCCAGCAGACCCCATAGTCATCGACTAATATTACCGGCACCGCGACGTAGGAAAGGAGGCCGAAGACAAGCAGAAAAAAAACCCTCATATGGGTAAAGCCCAAACCAAGGTAC